CCAGCCACAGTGAGATAGAGTCCAATCCACATAATGCACTGCACCCTTTGCACCCTTGTATTCTTAGATAACTCTCGTCTCCCTGGCCCAGTCTGAAGTGTGCCTCTGTATGGCTGGTGTTCCAGGCATTTGCTGTCTCACCGCTCTGCTTTCATAAGCCCGCTCAGCCGCTGACCTATATAGTTGTGGGAGGGAGGGGAAGTCACCTTGCTGGGCGGCCGGTGGCTGGCATGCTCCCACAAGAGTGTAATGTGGTCTGCTGTTGAAGGACACATGCAAAATCAGAGTTTTTATTTGGAGGTTTTGATGCCGATTCATTTTCTTTGCCTTTTGCAGTAGAACCACATTGGAATACACGTGCAAATGTAGCCTTGTCTATGCACCGTCTTGGATTAGAGTGAAGACTGCTTTATCTTGGCAAAGTATAGAATTGCGAGTCAAGAGAGTTACAGTAGAAGCGATTACCTCATATAGAAAATTCCAACACAACCATGCCCCCCAAGACCATTTTTATTGGTCCCTGAACTGGTTTTCAAAGTTCATGATTAAGTTGCACCATTGAGCTTGCAACTTGACAACAACCATGTCATTTAATCCACTCTTTGTTATCAACCCTTTCATTTTCATCACTACGGTTTCAATAATTTCATGCAGCCCTGTTTGCTTATTAAATGTGCTCTATAATTAAATTGGATTGGTATGGATTGCATGTAAAATCACACTGTTCATCTTGATCACTGAGGACACGCAGAGCGATTTGTTGTAGACACAGAGCTCATGCTAACTCCTCTTTATATACTACAACAAATTTCTTGTTGTTTTTGCAAGATTGTCGGTTTAAGCTCGTTTAATTCAAGGTTGTTGTTTTTTTAATGCATCTGCCAATAACAATTGTTTGCATAGCTTTAGAGAATGTATTTGTTTTGGTTTTACCAATGCAGTTATATTTCAAATACTGATTAGAGGATTATTATTTGTGGAATTGTAGAATTGACAACTTTTGTCATGTTAGCAGCATGAGACTAAATGACTAAAGGCTCAATGGCCCTCATTTATGAAAATTGCGCAGAAAAAGGTGTACATTTTGGGTGTAGATTCCAGATACGCAAGATCTGACGTGGCATTTATGAACGTGTGAGATCCGCACAGATCTGAGCGTACGCACCTGCGGCTGTTTAATAAATGCCACGCTCAAAATCTCTCATCCATGGGCTGCTCCACCAGTGCCTCCAGTGGCACACCGTGGTCCTGTGCCTGCTGTGGAGAACCGAGCCAGGATCATATATGGCACACTTTTACTGGGAGGTACCAGAGCGTAGCCCCATCATGTCCCAGAGCCATCTACTTTTTATCCTGCACTATATAACTGTACAGTATATAACTGCACTACTACTACATATATATCTTTTGACTGGTATTGAAGAATTTTCAGCATCTACAGCTAGTTATGTTAGCTAAGAAACATAGCTACTACTTATTTTGTATATACTGTGTGTGCTCCCTGTGTGCTCTTACTACTGTCCTGTATGTGCGCTGCAACATCGAAATTTCCCCACTGTGGGACGAATAAAGGAATTCTTATCTTATCTTATCTTATCTTCCTCTGATCAGACCTTCGCAGCCTCCACGGTGGCGCGCGTCTTTGCTTGGACCCGCATGAACCAGTTGCTGTTGCGCACTGATTGTGGGTGCATATAACAATCCACACATTTGTGGGAGATTTTGAGTTTGACATCTTGCACGTTATTTAATAACACAAACTAGCCCTAACATAACTTCGTAAAATTGCATATTTGTAATGTGAGAGGTGTGCCTATAATCTTGCCAGAGTGGGAATATGTTTATTTTTGTCTGAATCTTGCATTTCATGCGTGTTTTGGGGTGTTGTAATGAAGGTTGAAATGAGCGTACACATATACACCACCTCCTGACTTGGTGTAAATTCTGTGCGTACGGTACGCTCACGTCCAGATTGATAAAGGCCGAAAAGTGTAAATTTTTTTTACACCTAGATTTGGCCGTACGCAAGTTTTATACACGAGGGCCATTGTGACTACGTAAAGTGACAGTGGACACATGTGGTTTCATATTGCTCATTCTGACATGAAGATAAGATAAGATGAACTTTATTGATCTCACAATGGAGACATTTTACTTGTCACATTTGGCACAGATAGAATCACTCAGATTGTGCAAAAAGACAGAAGTGTGCAACATTTTAAAGTATAATACATATAAATATGTGCAGGATATACGTATATACTGTATATGCATTGGCATCATTGTGTTAAAGTTCGGCTGCATTGCTTTTGTAATGTTATTGTTGACGTTCTTGGTCCATATTGTGTGTCTCTGTATTGAGTGGGCGAGGAGGATTTGGAACTTATGATTGATACTACTGCTCCATGTGCCCTGGCGAGGCGGTGCACAGGTGCACGTTGCAACTGTCTGTGAACCTGTGAGGCTTCTAATCTTATAGATTCAAACAGCGCCTGGAGGTGTCTGCAAACACTGTCATTAAGACCCAGCCAAACTCTAAAAGGAGCTGGTGTTGCGGCACTTGGGCATCACCTGTATGACTTTGGGGACTTGCGTTGGATTTGAGCTTTTACATTCTTTGGTTTTTTACATTCTTTTGTTTTTAACCCCTACTACTTCACTAGTAGGGGTGGGAACCTGAGGGTACCTCACGATACGATACGATACACGATACAAAGCTCACAATAACGATATTATCACGATAACGATATTATCACGATAACGATATGACGATTATTGATATATTGGTCAGAAATATACAATATAGGGCTGGGCGATATGGCTGAAAACTATATCACGATATAAGTCATTCATATCGGTCGATAACGATATATATTGAGTTTTTTTTTTTTTAACCTAAATAAATATATTTGTCGTGTGGGCTAACCAACCTTAGCAGCCTTGTTTACAGTCACGGGGCGATGAGGCTGGAGGAATATGTTCACACTGTGTCCCTCGTTGTTAGTCCTGGTTTAATCCTGGTTTTTTATTCCTGGTTTAGCTCCTGGTTTAGCTGTTTGAGGGTCTTGTGTCCCCGTGACCGCTCCGTGCGGCTCTCTGTGCCGCACATGCTTCCCGAGGAAAAAGTTAATCTCTTGCTTTCGCCGAATACATCGGGTCTGTCCACTGCCTCTGCCGCCGCACATGTTATTCCGCGTACGTACGTGCATAACCATTGACACGGCATTGAAACACGAGCTATAGATCCATGGACGCTACGCATGGTGCGGTTGTTGTTGTTTTTGCATTTCCCACAAAGTTTTGCGGTTCCTGCTTGGCTGTTATTGGTCGAGAAGCCTCTGCCTACATCCCCCACAATGCCATGCGCTTATGAGTCGGCTTTACTTCCGGTGTTTTCTTCCTGTTTTCCCTGACGGAGTTAAGTTAAACTATCGAACATTCTATCGACCCCATTCTCTATTGATATCGAACACATGTCTATCGCGATATATATCGTTATCGTTTTATCGCCCAGCCCTAATACAATATGCCAATTTATGGCATAAATAAAAGAAAAATATACTTTATTTCATGATAAATGGAATGGAGATGCGTAATGTAGCCATATATTCAGTATTGATACCAATTAAAAAAAAAAAAAAAGAATCGGTATCGATACTTGGCAAATGCATATCGATAATCGAATCGCGGGAGAAAGTATCGCGATATATTGAAAAAGCGATATATTGAAAAAGCGATATATCGTCACACCCCTAATCAATAGCACAATCAAATACTTAAAGCCTTTTGACTGTTTATCTATAGGGTACCTCACTTTAAAAACTTTAATAATGTAAATATGTAATAACATTTCTGTGACTGGTTCTTGGCTCTAAATTAATTTCAATAAAGTTTTTGTGTGTTTAGCCCTAAATCAGAACAGGAGTCATCTCAGAGGACTTTACAAAGTTGTCAATTTGAAAACACACCAAGAAATAGGTGAATAATAATAAGGCGGTAATTTAGTTTGGAAGATAGGAAGAACTAAGCTCACTGCGCTCAAATCCTCCTCCTTGCGCCACACTTTCAACACTCACCTGGCAGTAATCAAGCCCTGCCCTGAGTCCAGCTTCATATTGCAAGGAAGCTTCAAGCAGCAGGATTCATTCATGCTGCAACTCTCCTCCTCCCCATCTCTGCCTCGTTGTCCAGTCCAGGTCTTTTTCCTAGCTAGAAAGGAGACCATCAGGGTTTAGGCCCCCCGGGAGATTTCATCTCATAATCTTTATCTTCAATTCCCCTTCTGCACATATCATTTTGCGTTGCTCTGCCAGGGTCTAAGCGCCAAATCTTAACCATATTTCTTGTACAGCAGTAATGAATGTTAGCTTGCAAATATTGTCTTCAGAGTTCTATGTATAACCTAATCCAGTGTCAGTTAATTGCCAACCAATATACCGTTATATACCTTATATTGGCCCTGTTTTGTTCTGGTCTAGTCTCCCCAGATTGAATTAAACATTACATTGTCTCATAATTATCTTCAAACAAGTGCAATAATTGAAGACGTATCTAGAGGATAAATCTTTCTTTACCCTTGAGTGTTAATACAGTTGCTATTTAACAACAATTATTGAAAATGTCAAAGATTAAGAAACTGTTGTATTCATTGATATTTCAATTTTCCAAGTACCAATAGTTTTTACAACAACACTGGAATTACAGATTGGATTTGAATGTGCCCAATGCAATTTTACAGTGTATGATTCCAACTCGTTTTGAACTGGAGAATCTTTCGTGCAGTAAGTGGCTTGAAAACGCTTCTTGACGGAGATTTGATTTACACTCACTCTATCACGCACGCACACACACACACACACACACACAAAGACACACACTTCTGCAAAGGGATGGGCCCGCTGCCAGAGATCCAGTCAGACAAACACCCCACCAGAGACCCCTGGAAGCGTCCAACAAATTGAATGCGTGTAGATGGACAAGAGGGAATTAGATGAGTGGTCATGATTGTATCCCCCGGAGGGACGGATGTGTGTGCGGCTACAGACAGAGCAGAGGAGGGGGGTGGTGGGGAGGGGGAGGAGGGGGTTCAGCGGTGTGACCAATGCTGTAAGGAGAATGTTAACCAGACAATCACCCTCCGTGCTATTGATCCAGACGGGACTATGGGCTAATTAGAGGCTGGGAAAAGGAGGGGCAGCCCATGTGCGGGCCACTTTGGATGTTTTGATACAAGCTGTTCCCTGGTTGTGCCCGTTTAATGCGGTGACATAATATTACGGAGCGGAAAAGAGCCCAGGAATATTCATATTTCAAGGTTTTTTACAGGTGTTGTGTAAACATGTGCATAATTAGAAGAAGTCTATAGGGACGTGCAGAGCTTTGAGGTTTGCAAGACCAGAGGAAGCCCCCTTACAGGTTCAATTCATTTAAATTTGGATAGACCTAATTCACAACAGCAGTATTGCAGTATTACAGCAATGGTCATTCCTATAGAATATTGTTGATTTGCCAACAACAGATTAGAAAGGCAGCTTTAAATGTGAAACCTATATATGATGTAGATTCAGTCTGTTTTATATTAGTTTCACATTGTAAGGTGAATTACAGAAGTAAATTGACTTCAAGTGAATTTTGCCTGTACATGGGTCTTGTTCAGTCTGATTAAAATGGAGTAGGTGAAAGCCAGATACAGTCAGACTTTTGAAGCAAAGCAGGGGTGGACCTGGTTAGTACTGTGATGGGAGACTTCTGGGAACACCAGGGGCGACTATGTGTGTGTGTGTGTGTGTGTGTGTACGTGTATGTAATAGCAATTTCTGTCATCAATTCGCATGATTGACAATGAATGATAGACAGTGTGTGTATGTGTGTGAGTGTGTGTGAATGATTGGGGGGGGTCATAGGGGTCAATGGCAAAAATGAATGAATGAATAACGTCATGTGAAGCATGTTTGAGTGTCCCAAAAAGCGCTATTTAAAACTAATGCATTATTACATTGGGTAACAAAAAATATTTTTGGAAAATAGTCCAGGGTTTTCCAGCTGAATTAGACTAATTTTGATGCCCTGAGTCCGAAAATGACCTTGGTTTTGCTCAATCAGGTCAGGATTTTTTGCTACAGAAATATCTTTTTCAATCAAATTTGCGTAAAAAACAAATTTCTGCGGATCATCAGCTGAGAAACCCTTGACGTTTTTTCCGTTTTCCTCAAGAAATAAAAGTCAACGTATCCAAAGTCATTCAGTTTTTATTTACTCCATCAAATTTGATAAGCAGAATTCATAATAACGTAGACGTACGTAATCCGTAACACTATGGCTGTATCTCAAAAAGTTGACCTGATAGAGCAAAATGCATGTGATCTTCGGACTCAGAACACCAAAATTAGTCTGAATCAGTCGAGAAACCCCTGACCATTTTTTGGCTGTCAACTTGTGTTATTATTTAGGTGGAGATTTTGGTTTTCACCAACAATTAAAAACACACTGATTTAAAAAAAAAAAAAAGAAAAAAAACATTTGAAAGCAGGAATTCTTTTTATCTATATTTGGAAGAATCATTATACACAAACACTACTAAAAAAGCGTTTCCACTCATGTTTATATACTGGAACAGGAATTAAAATAAGGAATATTGACAGAAAGCAGAGGGATGTGTATGTATTTTAGCGTGTGTATATGTGTGTGTGTAGTGGTTTGTATGTGCAGATCACTGATACTGCATAAATTAAGACATTTAGAGATTGATGTTTGTAACAGTGTCAGGGGAAAGAAGGTATTCTGTAACTTAACTTATCTTACAATGTAACACCGAATACTTTGTCGGTGCCCTCCCCAACACTGCTGTGACACACTACAACACTATAAGCCAAGGCTAATTTGCAACACCCGGCTTTAGAAGAGCAAATAACATCACAATTTACATCACATTTACATCGTACAAAGTGTGGCTCCTCACGAAGTCGTCCTCGGTCGCTCTGGAGGGCGATGATGATGCTTGATGTTTCTATTGAATGATAATGATTCTTAGTGCTAATGTATACTGTATGACAAGTGTTGAATGGACACTTGCAGGTGCTATAATCTGGCTGTTAAAATATGTGGTGTTTAGATTCACTCATGATGGGGCTGTTCAAGAAAGACAAGGCGTTTGGTAGGACACACGAAACAGCTCTATTTGATTAAGAAAAACGTCTGCAGGTCTCTACTGTATGTGTGTATACGTCCAAGCATGTCAATTATGTATTCTTTTCCATAGTATAAACACACACAGGTCTAGGACTGCAAATAATGTGTTTAGTGAGGTTGCACTGATTAAAGCTGAGGTACCACGTTTTTCACAAATAATATCCCAACAGAAAGAAAACCAGAACTTGCTGCAGTTTCTATGTTTTTAGAAAATATATTATCTTTCTTGCAAGAGCCCTGTGGGTCACTTTTTTGACGCTTGATTGGGGAGAGCTGCATGGTTGAGTGAAGGTGGTCCTTTTCACTTTTCTGTCTGAGAAAGCTGATCTAAAGTTGTGGCCACAAAAATAGAAATGAAGTACAAAGAACGGTTTTGAGAGCAGGACTGTAGAGCAGCATTGTCACATGTTTTGTGATTTATGATGTCAGTACCCCAGCTTTAAAGGGCAGCTTTATTTTGTATTTGTAGATTTAAAAACATGGATGACCTGGTGAACGTTGTGTTTAAGATCTCAAAGGTTACTGCTTTCTTTTTACAATCATCTAAAAGAGATATATGGATTGTTTAGCAACGAATGCATTCTGCAAATTAGGAGTAACGTGTGTTGTGCAAAGTTTGACAGTGATGGACAAGTTACTCTGAAGGGATATATTTTTGTATGAGTAAAAACCTTTCATTGGTATTAGAATATATTTATTTTTTCTTAAGGCAACATTGCATTACATTGAGTTGCATTAGTCTGAGAGTCACACTGATTGTGTTTGAGTGACATTGGTCTGAGTTTAATTTGAATACTGCTGTTTTAACTCTTTTGTATTCCTCACAGGTTGTATTTACTATGTTGATCATCCTTTCTTCTTGCAAATGTTTGCAAATGTTTCATCTACAAGCAAACATGTTCTCTACTTAATGATGTTGTTTTTCTATCAGTGTCTGAGGACACAGGTATGTTTCAACACCTTGAGATAATAATATACAGTAAATGCGTTGGTCTTTCCAGGTACCCATAGACCAAGGCTGGATTTATCAGACCCAAACCAGGCTAAATAGGTGAATATGTGAAATAGACATAGCGGTGTGTTATTCATTCATTAATTCATTACCAACGTGTGAATTTTCCATCTGGTGAATATGCAAGAGGTGTTTGTTGGTGAAAATGTTCAGTAGCCTACAGTGCAAGAATAACATTAATAACATTATAATTCTAACAAATTTTGTGTTTGTATAAAATGCAATGTATGGTGCCAGCGCCTTGGCGAGGTCCTGTCTATTCTTACATAATGTGTCTCATAAGCTTAAGTCACGCTGTAATGGGCTGTCTCTATCAATAATACACAGTCTAAGATCTAAATGAGCTCTCCCTATGGGAGATCACATGCATCTGCCCTATACAGGATGCAATATTCATACTTACAGCTTTTAATAAATGTAAATATTTTAAAAAGGCACCATGTTCATTTGAATGCACGGGGGACCTCACTGATACGGCCGTTCCATTAACAGCCGGCATAAATAATATACCATTGAAACCTGGCCAGTGGAACTTATTTATAGCACCATGAGTCAGGTGCCAAGTGTAAGTAGCAACCCAGTACAAGTTTATTTAGTGATTTGATGACCTTGTAGCGCTTCCAAGTCTCACTGCAAATCTCTGCATTGATCCCAGTCCTTGCCACTGAGATCCAGATTGTTATATTGTACAGTTGGATGTATGCGTGCGGCCTGTATAAACCAATAGGCCTCCTGCAGTTACAATATTCATGTGTGAGGTTAGCCAGTGCATTGCGTTCAAGCCTGGGTTCTTGTGCTGTCAGAGATTACAAACCGGAGAAACGCAGTCCCTGCGTAAAAGGAGTACTAGAAATAATTTTAACTACTAGTATGAAGTATTTGGAAAAGAGCCTTTATTTTCATAAAACATTTTACAGACCAAGATCACACACAGCACTGCAACTTGTAAACAGCATTTCCAATAGTAAAATTCAATATGTAAAAATATATTTGTTTTGGGTTTCTGTCTTGAACCTGTGTGTATTTTTGTGTTTTTCCTGAAAAAATTATAAACAATATTAAAACAATTCAAAATAGGAAAAAATACTAATGTTGTGTAGTTATTTGTGTCAACATGTTTTGATTTGATGTTGTGAAACGGTATCTTCTGTGAAAAGAGAGGGTTTTATACATACTCACAGTCACACCATACTGGATGAACAAAAGGTCCGCAGTTCAACCTCATTGAACGTGTAATTGTGTTCTTACCACTTTACATTTGTCAATATGAATGATCGAAAAAAAAGAGAACGGACATAGCATAGCAGGACAAGCATATGAGAAAATATGTTTTTCTAGCAAAGAGAGATGGGATGCTTTTTGCTGGAATGGCTTGACTGTTGTGATTGGCAAGTGACAGGAGGCAAGAAATACAATCTTTCTATTTTACTATTTTGAGGCCCAATAAAATGCAATAGCAAATGCACATTCCGTGATATTGAAAATTCTATGTACAAATGACATAATTACAGCTGCACATAGTGGAACATGACAATAATTAGCTAATAGAGGTCATTCCTCTATAGCTCGTTGTTGTGTCCTTTGGCAGGAATGGTTGGTGGTGGTCTGAGGGGGAGCGATGGAACTGCTGGTTGCCTCGCTTCTGCTGAGGCTACAGTTCAAGTTTATCACTGTGTTTTTAGAGTGAATGAATTATGTCTATAATGTTCATATGTTATCACAGTCAAAATAACATTAAAAGAATAATATTTTAGAAGATATAAAATCAATAGATATGTTTTCGAAATGTATTGTCCCAGCTAGTATGTAATGAACATAAAGTCAATCCAGTAATCAAGGGAACATAGAGATTTTTTTAACACGATTTTGATGAACAATAGACATAAGTCACGCTTTTGTCTAAGACCTTTGACCAGGTCTGTGAATAATTAGCTCTTCCTTTGAAAACGCAATGCACATTACGGACGGCAAAATTCCTGCCAGTTACAGCAAAAGTTGCCAGTTAATTATATTAAAGGTGACCCGAGAATTTCAGGGCACATTCATCTATTGTGGACGTCAACTAATTATCAAGACATAATGTTATTTTTTTTCTCCCTCACAGTTTTTATTGTGTCTAAATAATTGCAGTAATTCTGCGGATTTAGTAGCATAATGGGCTTAGAAAGTGGTTTAAAAAGACAGATGTATTGGGCACTAGTCATTTCACTACATGTTATTGACCACTGTATGCAACAATAAAAATGATCTATTCATTAGTTTAGCTGCACAGGCTCGGTCCTGGATCTACAGCCGATGCAGAAGGGTCTAATGACAGTGAGGATTTACAGACATTGGTCCCGCTCCCTATGGACCAATGGCCATATGTGTTTGTTATTATTGCATTTCCTGTGTTTAAACTGTTTGATTTTCTGATCTATTGTTGACAAATAGAAAACTTTGTAAAGTCTTCCATCAAACCTGATCCTAGACATAAAAGTACCTGATGGTAACTGTGTACTTGTAAATAGTAGCAATTTTAAGAAATGAGAAAATATATTTTTTGTTTTCCTGCCTCATTCTATGTCTGAATCCACCGAGAGCCAAAGCAATTTGTGACGTCTTATTACTCACAATGGCAATCAAAAGAATTCTGATTCTAATTCAAGCATGATGGGTTTGATCTCTTATACATCCTAATCCTGTTGCTCTTTGTGATGTGTCTGCAGTTCGCCCCTCAGGCAGCCCTCGTCCACGGCCAAAGTGTGCCTGGTGTGTGGGGACGAGGCGTCGGGGTGTCACTACGGCGTGGTGACCTGTGGCAGCTGCAAAGTCTTCTTCAAAAGAGCAGTGGAAGGTACGCCACACACACACACACATAAACACTCACCAGGATACAGAAGAATACAATACAACGATTATCACAGGGACATGTGGAACATATCAGCAATTATTTGGTAAAAGTGTTTGTGAGGGGAGTTCGGTTTGCTCTTTTTGGACATGAAAACCGAACTCCCCTCACAAACATAACTATACCATATGATAGTTATGGTATGTCATAGATTCCATAACTATCTATGACAGGGCTGATGACAGGGAGGCAGATAGTTTATTGAATTCTGAGCTGAAAATCGTTTTACTACCACATACAAGAATGAATAACATTATTGTCATAATATATGTGTGAAAACTGACTTCTGTAAGCAGAACACACATGTTCATAGTTAGCTCTGACTCAGAGTCCCAGCAGGAGGCTAGTCCCTGTGCTCCTCAGAGTCCTAGTTGGTTCATATGGCACGAACAAGTTGAGGATTTTTTTTTTTGCGTTGCGAGGTCATAGAGAGACTTTTGCACGAGCAGAGCTGCATTAAAGTCTATTCTCTGAGCCACAGGAAGCCAGTGCAGAGACCTGAGAACTGGACTAATGTGATCATACTTCCTGGTTCTAGTCAGCATTGCAGCGTTTTCAACACACTGCAGCCTGTTTGGACAGACCTGTGAGCTAACCTACTGTAGACAAATGCATGGATAAGGATCTCCAAATCTGCTTTAGACACTACTATTACTTATTTAGATAGAAGTGGCGGGGTTACATGTTTGTTCAAGAAGTACCTGTTATTAGCTTGGATCAATCTAAAAACAACTCCTGGTCTGTTTTGCTGACTGAAAGTGCAAGTCGATTCTAATCTACAAATGCAGGTACAGTAATGTTTCAGAATCTTGACCAATCGATGACATAATTAATGCGAGCAACAGTAATGACACCAAGGTCTCTCACAAAGTCCTTGGCCTCTGTACTTTTTGTTAGAATTCATAATTTTGTGAGGTCCTGAAAGATGGTGTTGTGTAAAATCCAATAGCCAAAGAAGAATTGAGGCCATATGACAGCTTACAGAGCCCAGCCTAATTATAACATACAATACATGGTTTGTTTTGTTCATATAAACAGCTGCTAAGTGACAAATGTTCGCAGCCATATGCTATTGTTGGATGTAAAAGACTTCAATGGGCTTACAGGTGTTCAGTGAAACAGAGAGGAGTGAATGATAATCCATCATACACTTTGTTAGCAGATGTAATGAATTAGACAAAGAACAAAAGCACACATGGATCGGATAATTACTGTTGCTACATAATATACATCTGACAGGAAATTACTATTGTGGTTTGTCGCTTCTTCTGGTAAGCAGCTATTGTAGCACACACACACAAACACACCTACACGCGCACACACACACACAAACACAACAACCATTCCCCATTCTGTGGAACTTACAGCGGTCTCCCATCACAGCATTAATGTTGCATTACGGGGAACTGGTGTATTTGTTTGTGTGCGCTGGTTTAAAGCTGGGGTCCCTAACTTTTGTTTCCCGGATAATGGCTTTTGTTTGTCTCAACAGGAAGAGTAAAATGTTGAGAATAAATCTGACTGCCCCGCGAGTCACTGTTTGGCACTTTGCCTGGGCGTTGATTGGCTGAGTGAGGGCGGTAGTCTGTTTTTCACTTTTCTGTCTGAAAGAGCTGATCTAAAGATGTGACAGAGGCCTATGAACATATGCATGTGATCAGTCAGCTTTGAGAGTCCATTGTTTTTGGCTTTAAGCTACATCTACAGGCTGTGAATGATTGAAATAATACTCACATATGCAAATAAAGAACCGTCTATGATAATTCTAATATTTTCTTCAATATTTTTTCCATTTACCCATAGCATACATCTGTTTCTTCTATTTCCAGTATAAATCAGAATTAAAAGTGCATGTTTTCACTCCAGCTCCTGTATAGCGGATATACAAGTGGGAAATGAGCAGCTTAATGCGCTTTTCATTCCGAGGCTGAAGTGCCCAGAGCTTTAGCTGGAATACACTCACTGTAAAAGCAAAGAGGAGAAAAAAAAAAACCCACAACGCGCTCTGGACCAGGCCTTGAGGTCTGTCTCTCCGGTTAGATCACAGAAATATGGTTATGCAAAAGAGAACAAGTTTATTGAACTGGCATTGCTGTAAGAGCTTGGCGTTGCTAGGGAGGTTCGGTATTTTTATTGGACAAACTCATGCCCAGTTTGAATTCATATAAACTTCTATTGGGCCGTAAAATGGTTAATATAATTCAACTCAAAGCTTATTATTTTTCTATGGTGTTGTATTATGTTGATTATGATCAATTTTATATTTATTCATTATTTATTATTTTGGCTCTTTTGGTTTATGTATTTTTATTCAATATTAGTTATATATATATGTATATATTTTTTTATCATTATTTTTTGTGGGGTTTGAGCGCACAAGCCAAGTCCATTGGATAACATTTTCTTGTGTGGTAATAAATCCACCTTGGAAGTTTTTTTAAAATTAATTAGATAGAGATTTTACAGTGCTTCTATTGGCATAAAGCATCTTGAGATTTGGGAAATACTACACATCTATACATGTTTCTCTGCATTAAGCAAGAGTCTGACTCCATTGTCGCTGCTTCCCTCTCTCCGTACATGGCTGCTCTCATCAGTTTGGATTGAACACTTAAAAAGTTCCGATTGTCCTGTATTTCACTCTGTCTTGTAAATCTGAAATAACGACTACACTATAGTCAGAAATATGACCAGTTAATGAGAAGGTGAAGACAGCAACTCTTCAGGATCTATATAAAGATAAATTAAAGGTGCTGTGCGTAACTTTTGTCCAAAAATCGAGATTCCATTTCGTGCTGTAAAGTTTTGTGTGTGACCCGTGTGCATCAAGGAAAAAAAAAGTTTAACCCTGTAGAACCCACTCATAAAAACATTTTAAAAAAGTTGAAAAAACCTATTGGTGCTATTTTTGGAAAGCAGACTTTGATGACCAAATTTGGCAATGTTGCATATTTGCTTCTTTGGGTTCTCAGGTACATACATTAGTTAACGCATTAAACCAAAAAAGTCAAAAGTCTTTCGCCATAACCGTCAAACTTTATGTTGCATACTGTATTTGTGACCTAGGGTGCTATGGGGTAAAAACAAAAAAAACTGAAATATTAAATCCTGGGGCCTCTCCTCTAATGAAGACAAAGAGTTTCTAAATTTCGAAATCAAACATAAATTGCACAATTTTGGAAAAGCCTCTATTCAAACTATTATGACTCACAGGGTTCCATCTTATTATAATATGCAAAATATGTTTTCTAAAAAGAGGAAGACGGTATGATGTGGACTGATTTGTTGTCAAAAAATGACTTTTTCTGTTGGCACAAACAAAATATATAGGTATTAATAATTTTATATTAGGTACCTCAGCTTTATATGAATTTGACTGTGGATACTTGTTTTCCTTCCTACTACATTGGAGAGCAGTTAAAAGTAGTCATAACAGTAAAAGGGTAACTGAAACTGCCATATTGGAATTGTATAAAATCACTTGGAAATACCCTAGAAGCTGATTTTTCACGTCTGTAGTTTGACTTTTAAATACGTTTCAACTCTTCGTCTGAGTACTCCTTCCACCCCTTCCTATAACAACCCTCATAAAGTGCTACGTACTAATCGCTGCTGCCCATTACTACCATTTTAGCTCTGGAAAACCACAATAAAAGCAACAAGGGCAGCGCACGTGGAGAGAAAGTCACGCAGTCTGAACGTGACGTGGGCAGAACGCGTTACCTCGCACGACCTCTGCTACAGCTGCTGCCGAGGTGCTAAACGGAAACAGGAGGGGCCGCGAAGGACAGGGAAAGTCAGACGGAGACGTAAAAAAAATATGGCGGAGAGGAGAAAGAAGTGATGTGTCAGCAGAGAGGTGGAAGTCGGACGTGAGGAGATGGTTTATTCTCGGACCGGAGGGAGAATATATAGCTACATGAGGCTTGCGCTGGGACATGCTTTTGATGATGCGCAAGTTGTGGATAATTATCTGTTTAAAGCTGGGGTAAAGAACTTTAAAACCACAAAAAAACAAAATCCATGTGACAAGTTCCTGGTTACAAGGTTCCGTCGCTAGTTTTCATATTCAAATGTGTGTGTAATGTATTCAAAATGTAAAGCTTGGGTACCTAATTTTCTTATATTCTTCCTCGCTCTCAAATCAATGTGGTTCAATCAGTGGTGTAGTAGTAAAAAAGGTGTAGCAGGAATATTAGAATATGTTTGTAATATATTCAGAATGATTGATATAACGATGAGATTTTACTATTTATATTGTGACAACCAATAGAAAGGGTAAAGTGTATTTTATTTAAAATGTTGCTTCTGTTTTTAATGTTTTTATTATGCTCTGTACAGTGTCCTTGGGTGTTTAGAAAGGCGCTTTTAAATTAAATGTATTATTATTATTATTAAAAAGTAATTGAGGTTCCCCAGCTTTAACTTTTTTTTATGGGTAGCTGCAAAAGATGACAGAATTAAAGACAAAAAAGTGCTCAAATTTGGCTAAATGTATCTAAATATGAGCACATTTTGACTGCCTTAAAACAAGATTTGCCAGTGGAACAAGAAAAATTGTCTTGTTTTAAAAAGACACAAGACATTTCTCTCTTGGAATGAGAAAATAAAGCAATAGTTCTTGAATCAAGTCAAAATTGCTTGTCTCATTGGCAAATCTCATTTTAAGACAGTCAGAATGAACTTAAGTCAAGTTAAAAAAAACTCGATTCTAGCAATTATGATCTCATATTTGATAATTTTTTGCAGTGTGTAAACAAACCTGGCGGGGAGCTAATATATTTTAACGCGTCTGAAATTGTTATTTTACGCGCCGAGAATACAACTTTGAGCTAACATTGGACTCATCTGTGGCCCATCCTTCCAAAGACTGCGTTTGTTGATACGGGACAGCTGCTGCTGCGGCCAATAAACCGGCTACATGTGGATCTCATTGGAAGTGCTAT